AGATGGTGTAGCAAACATTGTAGAGGCAGTTATGTATCATTGGAAAGGAAACTTAATTATATTTTTGATGTTCATCCATTTTACAAAAGCAATAGAATGGAAATAATGAAACAAACCTTGGACTCTGTTCAAATTTCCTATATATATATATATATATATGTTCCCTGTAAGTTGCCAATAGAATAGCGATACGTCAAAGAAGAGTTAACTCCTTCTCTGAGAGCTGGGAGAGTACAGGTCAAAAAGCAGAACAAGAAGAGTTGGAGGAATGGCCCAGTTATGGTACATTTTTAATCCAAGTAATTTCAGGACAGTTAAAAATGATCAAATCAAAGCATATCAACGAATGCAAAACAAAAAAAATTATTATGCAAAGGAACATGAGTACAGTAGTCTCCGCTTAAACGCAGGCCATACAAAAGCATTCTCTGCTCAAACGCACGCTTTCGTCATCTGAGAGTAGATTTTTTTAACGATATAATTTAGACGTACAAATACATGGTCACTCTAAACGCACCCTCTGACCCGCGAAACACGCAGACAGGTAAAGCTTGACAAAGGGAGAGTTTTCACTACAACCTTCACAGCCTGCATAAGACAAGCCTACAAAGCCAGATGTTTGGCAAGACTGCCCCTCACGCTGAACAAAGAGAGGGATGGACAGCATTTTCACACCCAACTTTCCACAGACACATATGTCTAGGACTGGTTGGTGAAATGTTGGTGGGGGGGGTTGGGGGACAGAAATGTTTTTTGATTGGTCACTGGAGATGCATCTTTGAGAAAAGGTTTCTGACTGGTGTTTGGGTGACTGCATGTAATGTTTATTTAGACCTACTAGGCCTATGATGCGCAACATGCGTGAATGCTGTGAAACACTAGATAGGCCTCTATAGGATTAAAGATTAGTCAAGTAAACATAATCAGCAGCTCTCGCAAAACTTATAACGTACTTCTTCAATGAATCAAAATTCTCAGAATGTAGAGATCTATGATTCTGAGGTCGTCCATGAGTTTACGGTCTGGGGTGGTCAGTTGGACACGTGGCTGGGCCGTCATCTCTATGACTATCACAAACAGTTTCCTCTTAGACTAAGACTATCTGTTCCCGACATTTTATGGTGCATATCATTACATTCAACACCTTTGTTTAACCGCAGTCGGGGAATCTTTGACAAAACAGTCACGTGTTGTCACATTATCGGCCCAAAGTGACCCACCACTCCAAAGGGAGGTCACTAGAATATCAAGGCAATGAGATGACTGCGTCCCTTCTTCCCTTTGCACAGGTTCATGTAAACGCACGCTCCGTATAAACACACGCTAAGGAGCCCTCCCGAGCACCTTGCGTTTAGGCGGAGACTACTGTAGCATAACTACATGTATATGTGAGGCATCGTGGTGAAATCAGGCACTCATCAAAATAATGAAAGTCAAGTATCAAGTAACTGGCATTTTTCCACAGACTCTCAAGCCAAGGAAATAACTCAACTTTGGTGGCCTTTTTCTCCCTAATGTTACCTCTGAAACCAGGCGACCCTCTCAATGTTCAGTTGCAAATATCTTGACCTGCATCCAAGATAAACGGATATTTTTTTGATGAAAAGCAAGGCAAATGGATGACACCAATAACTCCATATGCCCCAAAATTGACGAGCGCCCGATTCCACCACATCGTGACACATATTAAGCCCGTGATAAAGCCCGGCCCGAGATCGATTGGCCCAATCATAGTCATGTGATCACAGGCCCGGGCCGTTTCAGAGAGTCCGAAACGGGCCGATCAGTCACTCACTTTCGCTCGATTCAATTAGCTTTTTATAACTAATTTCTTAATTGACAAAAAAAAAAAAAAAAAAAGAAAAAAAAAAAAGTTTAATAAACTCCACGGAGAAAAATATTGCAGAAAAAAACAGAAACGCGCACACCAAGGCCCGAGGCAGCCCGTGGCCCGTTATTTCGAGCCTCGTGCAGTGCGTGCACACATTGCCCAGCGCTTTGGTGCGAGTCGCGTAAGCCTATTTGCTCGACCCGAGCCCGGCCCGTGGCCCGGCCCTGGCCAAACGGGCACACACTTTCCAATCATTGTATTAAAAAAAGTGTATACAAAATATACATACTTCCACTACAAAAGGTATAGAATCGGAGCAAAACAAAACAATAAAAGTATCTGGATATTACCCCCACACACGAACCAACACACACTTTCCAGTCATTGTATTTAAAAAAGTGTACACAAAATATACATACTTCCACTACAAAAGGTATAGAATTGGAGCAAAACAAAACAATAAAAGTATCTGGATATTACCCCCACACACGAACCAACACACACTTTCCAGTCATTGTATTTAAAAAAGTGTACACAAAATATACATACTTCCACTACAAAAGGTATAGAATTGGAGCAAAACAAAACAATAAAAGTATCTGGATATTACCCCCACACAC